CTGTGCTGGAACCAGTGGCCTTAAAGAGCGGGGAGTGAGCTTTGTAGTGATCAGGAGGCATTTCTTTCAGGGGTAGGCTAACGAGAAAATTTAACAAAATAAACCACAGCAGAGAAAGCAAGCACTGAGGGCCTTGCCTGCTGACCTCACGTCACAACTGGTCATTTATGCTCAGGGCATGAGATAAATACAAAAAGTAATAATAATAATAATAATAATAATAATAATAATAATAATAATAATAATACTTGTCCAACATTATATTAATTGGTACCTGGATGAAAGGGTCTTATGTTAAAATAAGTTTGGGGAAAACTGATAAAACCAGTTTTCTAAACTTCGGGACTCCACCACTTCAGCGTTCCATGTTTATCCTGTGCCCCTAAGGAACCAGGTCTTCTCAGGTCTCCCCTAAGCTTTCTTCTGCATCAGATGTCCTGAGGAAAGGGGGTGTGTGGCAGTTTCAGGAGTCTCATTTCACTCCAGCTTCAGGTGTCGCTGCCCAGGGTGGTCTAATCCAGTCACTAACCCAGTGACTGTTGGGTGGAAAGGCCTGACAGGGGATCATGCATGATCCACTTTCACCTGTTGGGCTGGGAAAGCTCACTCCCTTCTCTCAACCGAGGAAAATACTTGGGGCCAATAAATTCAGCCATTGCCAAGGTCAGGCTGCTTTTGAACAGATCTTTAACAGTTATTCGAACCCTGAAAGTTCTGGCAAGTACCAGAATTCAAAGGAAACAGGGTACCTGCTCTAGTACTTCCCCACCTTATCCGGTCATTCTCCAAAAAGACCAGTCAGTGAGCCAAACAGGCCTGCTGTCAGACCTCCTCAGGAGAGCAAAGGAAGCTACCAAGCATGAGCTCCACTGGAGACAGGCGAAGCCTCCCCTTATCACAAATGCTGTAGAAGAGAAGGTAGCATGACCGTGATGCACCGTGCTCGGCTCTCTGAGAGCAGCAGACCCGAAGCAGTTTTCATATTGTCAGTTGCAGAAAGAGAGCCTTGATGGATTCCAAGTAACTTGTTCAAAGCAATTTGACCAAAAAAAAAAAAAAAAAAAAAAAAAAAAAGCAATTAAGCTCGAAGCAATTTGGTTAGAAGAATCTCTCCCAAATGTTAGTCAAAAATGATTATCTTCAGTCACCAATATTTCTAGTTCCAATGATAATTATTGGCTGAATAAGCAGTTGTGCACAAATGCATTCATAAACAGTAACGGCTGACTCTTGATAACTGGGGTTATGGGTATTTTCTATAGCCTATTGCTGGCTTTCACTTCAGCAATAAAGTAGACAAGGTCATGGTTTCCTACATTACTTTCACAATTAAGAAAGAGTACAAGTGAAAGGACATAGTTTTTTAGGGTTTGGAGGTTTTATTTTCCCTTCCTTAAATTTTTCGAATCCACTTCAAACCAGTATGCCGGCTGTGCTTGTTCGGCAGTCTTTCTTTTTGCACAGAGGGACGAAGGAAGTTTAGTTTGCTCCAACCAGCTTCTTTGTGTTGGATGTCAGAGAGCACAGAGCAAGAATAATTGGCTGAAAGTAAATTAGAAATTTTAAAAAAAAGCTAGGAGAAAACAACAGAAAATTTAAGCTTTTTTTAATGGCTTAAAATATGTAAAGTGGCAATGGCTCCATGCTGCATCACAGATTTCCAATACTCAGGGCCACCATCGACTGATACGAAGTGCTGGCTGTGTGATTCCAGGTACCGTCAGTGACCCAGCATAGGAGAGGAGAGGCAGCCTTACAACCTGAGAAAACTGACTAATACCCTCCTGTTCTGTTCCACTGTTCGCCACCAGATGCAAAGCTATTGTTTTCATGGTTTGGAACACCTATTTACACTTCAGCTTTGGGGTTCTTTAACAGTCCTAAGGATCAGAAGGAATTCCAAGTCCGCTACTGCAAGCTTGGAACATCACATACTCTTCTACATCTGCTAAGGAGAACTTGTTTTCTTTTGCTCAAAAGACTAACATTGTGGCAAATGCCTGTATTTATTGAGACCCTAACCCTAATCCGCAGGGTCTGCCTCCCTGGCTACCTCCAGAGCAGTGTTTCTAACTCCCTGACCTGCTTTAGATTCTCTAGGAATTACTTGAACATCCTCCAGACACAGTCTAAGCACTCTTAGCAGAGCTTGCAAACCCCCTCCTATCTGAGCCTCACCTCCCACATGCCTCGTAGGTACCCCAGGTCCTTCCCTAGGGGCTTGCTGCAGGTCCTTTAGTGCATTGTGCTTGCTCTCCTCTCTGTGCCTCCTCCTGCTCCCCTGAGCCCACTCCCCTCACCTGTGCCTGCCTAGCTCTCAGTGGCCTTTACACTTAGCCCTGACTCACTTCTCCCTCTGAAAGCCTTTTCTCAGAGCTTCTGCTCCATCCCACCCACTCTTATCCCAGTGTTCACATCACAATGCCAAAGCAAGCACTTCTCTGCCACTCTAATGCCCAGAGGGCAAGAACTACTTCCTGACTTTCCAGTGTATTCACTGCTTACCAGAGCTTTACACACTTAGTATGAACTGTGTTGCTTTTAATTGAAAGAATCAATAAATGTAAGCTCTTCTAAAGTATCTATCTTTGCATGGTGCTCTTGGAAATACAGAAGTGGTTTAGAATTGGACTTTGAATGCTTACAGGAGCTCCCATTTGGGAGGCAAAGCCTAATATCTGAAGTTCACAACAGAATAATGCAATATGAAATTAATACAGTGTCTTATGTGCAAACTGTTACTCTAAATGCTTTACAAGTACTAAGTATTTCTATTAAGTAATTTAATCCTTGAAATAGTCATTTGTATATATAAAATGTATATATCATCATATTACCTAATATATAGGTGTATATATGATATAGTAATGTATCTATCATCATATTGCCTAAAGCTCAAAACTAAGCTACAAACACATCATTTTGCTAGGTACTTCTTTTTCCAAATCTGAGTGGCCATTAACAGCCATTTCCCATTCATCACAGCAGTCTAATCCTACTTGGCTATTTCTTAGCAGATCTCCATCGACATAGATAAAGTTAATGTTAGTGTGTGGGAAGTCACTAATGATGCTCATTCTCCTTTTGCTCTAGTTATAGATGTGGTCTAAATTCTTCAATGCATAATTGAAAAGCCTAGGCTACTTCACAAAATGTACCCTGATCTAGAAAATGAGAGCCTAGAAGACCATCAGGATGACCTTATTATGACCCCCCCCAGACAAGCAAGATGGCCACTCTCTTCAGAAAGTTAGTTTACTTTTCCTAGGTTGCTTTTTCCTCCCTTTCAGTTGGAATTCTTCAGTTTCTGTTTTTGGAATTACATAAAAGTTATTGCTATTGGCAGCTTGTTTTTTTGTTTTTTGACTAGTAAAAATGGAACATGAGATACTATTCCTAATAAAGATGCAACATTTCCCTAAGTAAACAACATTTTGAAGGTAGATGAGAACAACATTAATGTCTTTGTTCAGATACAATTTCTTATTTTAAATTGGCAGACCAAATTTTATGTATTTATCTTGTACAACATGTTTTGATGTATAAATACGTTGCAAAATGGTCAGATTTATCTAATTAGAGCTGTGTTTCTTCACATATTTTTTCTTTTTATTTACTTTTATTTTTTTTTATTTTAATGTAATACAATTAGATATAAATAAAGAAAATATAGACACTATTACTTCTATGAAAAATAAAACAAATCTAAATAACAAAATAATTAGACAATGATTGAAATAATATGTATCATTGTCTTAAAATAATGTCCACATTGTTACCTGGAGCACCTGTATAGTCAAGAAAAAGATTCTCACTTACAAAAAAAGACAAAACTTTCTTTTCAATGAACAAACTTGAATATCACATGGTTTCTCTTATATGAGAAGCACTCTCTCTCTCTCTCTCTCTCTCTCTCTCTCTATATATATATATATATATATATGTATGGACAAATAAAGAGTAAAATAGAAGATAAACAGGAACTACAGAGAAGTTCAAATAATTCCCCAAATTAACTATTCTGTTGTTTAAAAAATATTTCATTTAGAGGCTGGGGATTTAGCTCAGTGGTTTTGCCTCCTGCTTCACAAGTGCAAGGTCCCAAGTTAAATCCCTGGTACCAAAAAATTAAAATTAAAATTAAAAATATTTCATATAGCTATTTGGATGATCCATAGTAAGAACTCAACATCTGTTGTCTTCTGTTTTTAAAACTACAGTATGCTGTCATTAACTACAGTCACCATGCCATATAATGTATCTCTTGAACTTATTCCTCTTATCTAACTGTATTTATATTTCTTTTGACCAACATCTACCCAATACCTTCTCCTTGCACCCCCACTACCTGCCTTCAGCCTCTGGTAACTAGCATTCTACTCTCATCTTCTATGAGATAAACTTTTTTACATTTCACATAGAATATGATGATACTATGCTAAGTTTTCTGTGCCTGGCTTATTTCATTACACATAATACTTTCAAGTTCATCCATGTTGTTGCAAATGACAAGATGTGCTTCTAAGTGTGGTTAAATATGTATCATATTTTCTTTATCCACTCATCTGTTAGTGGACACTTAGATTTACTACATGTCTTAACTACTGTAAACAATACTACAATACACAGGAGTGCAGATGTCTCTTCAGCATACTAATTCCATTTCCTTGGGTATACACCCAATAGTTGGATTGCTGGATCAAATGATAGTTCTATTTTTCATCTTTATGCAACCTCCACACTGTTTTTCATAAGGATTCTATTAGTTTATGTATCTACCAGAAGTGTATGATGATTTGCTTTCTCCAAAGTCTCTCCAATACTGACTATTCTTTTTGATAGCAGCCATTCTTACTGGAGTGAGATGATATGTAATTGTGGTTCTGACTTACATTTCTATCATGAGTAGTGATATTGGGTATTTTTTATCACCTATCATTCATTTTTATGACTTCTTTAGGGAAATATTTCTATGTATGTTTGCCCATTTTTAATCAGGTTATTTTTTTTTCTTGTTATACAGTTGTTTTGAGATCCTTATATATTTTGGATATTAGCCCCAGGTAGAATTTCTGTGGTCTCATAATTAATAAACTATTTGAAGCATTGTAGAAATCCTTTGCAATTGGTACATTTAAGAAAATTATAGTTAATTCACAACCTCAAAACTTAATACAGTGAAAGACTACAATATGTTTACTAACATTTAGTTGCTGTGTAAAAGCAATGTTCTAATCTTACATTTTGACCCTGGAAATTCAAAGCTAAAGTGTATGAATGTAGTACACTGAATTTACAACAGTTTATCCCAGCAGGTCCTCAGGTCTAGTAACAATTTGGCTAACATGGGGATAAATTAATAGCAAACCTTTCATTCTGACAGTGATTTCCAAAGAGGAATTATAAAATACCTTGTAAAAGTATTCCATTAACATTCATTAAATGCACATAGTAGCAGCAACTGAAGATCAGAGGTTCAGCAAAAAAAGAACACCAAGACAATAACCCAAGACCCTGACTTCACCCCATTGATCATTCACAAGGCCAAGTTTCCTCTCCACTGCATGAGTCAAAAGACACTTCCCATAAATCAAGTACCTTCCACCCAAAATACCTTGATTTATAGCAAGCGTTCTGCTTCTGTGGGAAGTTAATCAAGTGTTTTTGTTGCATCTTTATCCTTGTTGTATCTTTCACTTTTTAAATATCTTAAACCAAAACCTAAATGTTTTGGTGATGATATAGATGGATAATTGTTTTTGTTTTTGTTTTTGTTTTTGGTACCGGGGATCGAACTCTGGTCCTTGTGCTTGCAAAGCAGACCACCGAACCGCTGAGCTAAATCCCCAGCCCTAGACGGATAATTGTTTAACAAATAAGCACACCTCCAGCTTTCATTGTGTGTTTCAGATGAAGTCAACATATACCTCACATATATAAAAATTACCCTTATTGAGTTATATATGAGTCAATAATTGACCTCAAAATAAAAATGTGACATTCTCTGTCCTATCAAAATGTGTTAATTTTAGCCAAATTACCAGTTTATGTTGTGTGCCAGTTTTCATCTCTGGTAAAATACCAGAGGAAACACCATGCCAGGAATATTTAAGAATAAAAATTAGCTTTTATAGTATTTTTTCATAAAATAATACACTTATTTTTGTTCCTAGCAGCAGATATATTGTCCTAAAATAGTACAGAATGTTCATGTGATAAATAAATACCTTCATCCTTTCCCTTTCATCAGATATTTTCTCAATGATTTCTGACTCCAGCGGAGTGATGGTTTATGGACGTTATGACCAATTCCTTCGGGAAGTTCTCAAACTACCCACAGCAGTTTTTGAAGGTCCTTCATTTGGTTACACAGAACAATCGGCTAGATCCTGTTTCTCCCAACAGGTAACATTTTAAGGGGGATATCGCTCAAGCAGTTGTTGCTCTCCTGTGTCATTCCCAGCCACAGATGCACAGACAGTTCTTCTGGAGTGTATCTCTAGCCTCTGACAAGTGACCTTCGAGCCTGTTAACTACCCCGATCGTAATAATAGCTGGTGTCCACTAACCATGAGGCAAGGACCATACTAATTTCTTTACTTTCATCATGTAATTTCAACCTTACAACCTCAGTATCATTATTATTATTATTATCACTGCACTATCAAGAGGACTGAACTGTCACTCAGCCTCACATGAGACACATGTCTGACCCAACACCGAGTTTTACCAGTGTTCAACAAAGGAGAGAAGAAAAGAGTCACCACACTGTGACCTGGGTGGCCCAAAGCATGGCAAACACAGCTGCCTAAATCTGCCCTGATGTGCTGCATTTAGGGTTATGAAGGATGTGTTCGAATGGGGCATGGCACAGGGAATGCTGCTTGGTTTGGGGGTCTCTCCATCTTTGTCCCCCGTTCTGTTATACAAGCCCACTCTCCAGCACAGTGCAGGAAGTTTGTTTACAATATTCTGAGGGTTTGTTTACAATTTTTTAAAAATCTGAACTAGCCAGATAGGCCCTCTAAAAGGACCCGATAAATAGGAAATCAGTGCAAATAAAATAAAAAGTAATTTTTAAAAACATTAGTTCCTAGAAACCCCTGGAAAATCACATTGGTTGTCTAGCTAATAAACATCATTAGTCTGTTTCCTTGGTGACCTGGCTCACAAGCATATCTATACAGTTAGTAAAGAAGACATAGTTTATTGTACTAAATCTAGCTCTGCTACCTTATCATCTCACCCAGGAGCCTTTATAACCCTCGCTGCGCTTCTGCATACCCGCACCCAGGTGAGTTTAGATAGTCCTGTGTGTTCCCCCTGACTTCTGTCCCCAAGCAAACCATTCTCTTCTTTCAGAGAGAATATCTAACTGTGCTCTCATACCTATTACCCAGTCCCCTCTTCCTTCCTCCCTTTCCCAGCCACTAATGCCCACTACTCTAGTTTTCCCTTTTCTGAAACCGATTATATCAACTTCCATGTAAGTGAGAACATGCAATATTGATGTTTCTAGGCCTCGCTTTTACTGACTGAAAGAGAATTATATGTAATCTTCCCATGTTAAAAATTATCTTTTAAGTAGCCAGTGGACTGCCCCATTATATCATCGTTTATATATCCCTAGTGATAAGAAATTTCTACATACATACTTCTTCATAAAAACATTTTTTGAAAAAGTTGGGAGTGATTTTTAGCCAATATAGTGATCAAAATGGATAAAATCATTTTAAATACAAAAAGAAATAATACAAATAACAGCCATTAAAGGGAAAAATTCCAAAAATGTCTGAAATGCTTCAGTGGAAAAAGTCTAAGTCATCCCAAATGATAGTTTTGAAAGACAACATTGCTTTTTTAAAATATTGTCTCAATATCTATATTTTATATAACATATATTTAATAGTTATATTGATGTCAACCCTTAAAAGTATTATGAAGACAGACTGAAATTACGAATTTCTGCTGGTAATAAGAGATCAGTGAAGGATATTTATTTAATGAATTGTAAGGATTAGTGTAAGCTACAGGCTTTAAAAATACACTGTACCTCGTCTAAACTGATTTATTATTTTAAAATATCAAAATTTTAGCCACTCTGACATTCAAGTTCAAAATGTCAAATACAATAGTTATTTCTGCATATAAATATGTAACTGTTATTCATCATAACATAAAAAATATATTAACATATATTAACATCACATTATTTTTGTCACTTTTTAAAGAAATTTGATATAACACATTTTTTTCTATATCAGAAAGGACCGCACTGTGGAAATATAAGCAGACTGAATTGAGAGGAAAGATATATAAAGAATTTGGAACACTCTCTCCTAACAGAATTGCCCCTGATCTAGTATAGAGGAGCCATTCACATTGACCACTAAATATTTATTACTTACACTAGTTGAGAAGTTCTAAAGAAAAATTGTTCATAAATTCCGTGGAGAGTTTCAGTTCTTCCTCTTTCCTCATCTATAAAAGTGATGCTCCCAGAATTGTTCTACCTCTGGTTTGGCTGTTGCTCAGTCTCGGTGGAAATAATCTGGTCTCCTGTAGGTATAGGCATAAAAAGCAGTGTTTTCAGTTCTGAACTAGTTTAATAGCAAATTTGCTCAGTTCTGTTTCTTCATGTTTTAGAAGTTAATTGTATGAGGGCGGGGGATTTAGCTCAGCGGTTCAGTGGCCGGCCTTGCAGGCGCAAGGACCAGAGTTCAATACCCAGTACAAAAAAAAAAAAAAGTTAATTGTATGCTTGTTAACCTCCAATGATACTTATATAGCAAATAAGTTAAGAATATTCTCTATTCTAAAATTTTGTGATTCTTTTCGATGCAGAAAAAAGTCACGTTGAATGGCTTCCTGGACACCCTCATGTCTGACCCGCCCCCACAGTGTCTGGTCTGGCTGCCTCTCCTGCATCGACTGGCAAATGTGGAAAATGGTGAGTACTTACTAGTGTGCAAAAGCGGTTTATTATATTATTGAAATAGAACCATCAGGTCTACAGTTATTCATCCCATGGCAGTGCTTTAGGGATGTTATTTAGTGATTCTTAGTTTTGTTTTGTATAGAACTAACCCATGTCTCTGACCAATAAAGCCTTATAAGACCACTGCACTTCTAAACTCTTATTAAATCTCCTTGTGTAGCTCTCAGTTACAAATCCAGTGTACATAACAGAAGAACTTCGATGTGACACTTCCTAGTATCTAATTCAGATCTAAATTTCCAATATTAGTATGCACAGCACTATTTCTTCCAGGGAAATCATTCAGGAGTAGGTGAGAGAGCTAACAAAAAAATTAATGAGGGCACCTTGCTAATATTTAGTCACACGCTCCAAATTGTAAGCTTTCAAAAGTTGTACTTATGCTAAAGATGAGACTTCTATTTAATGTTTTTTAATCAAGTATTTCTAGGATAAAGAATTACTGTTTGCATATTCAGATTTAAACATGAAATATAATTTAGGACAAGAGTTAAAGAAATGTAAACATGGAATAATTCAGTGTCTCTAATCTTTGCATGATCTTTATTTATTGCTTAACTGAACTCTGAAATTTCTTCAATTGAAAAGAACATAATTTATCCCATGTATCTTACTGGACTCTGAATGTCTACATATTTCTTTAGTATACTTTGGGGCTAAAGTTGGCTTCATTTAAAATCCTCATTCAAAATTTTTAGCAACTGTCTTTATTGTCTCTTTTAAAGGGTATGAATTTATCCTGTTTTGCTCATGGACAAAATTTAAAGAATGAACTTACTAGTTTTTATGTATTTAATAACAATCAGACTTTTCAATGCATCTTATCTATATGCAGAAGTAAAAAATAGTAAGGTGCATATTATGTTGCAGTATGAGTTTGTTTGTTTGTTTGTTTTTGCAGTTCCAGAACTAGTCATTGTCAGTCATAAAGCTGGAATTTCATTCCTGCTTGCTCTCTCAGTATTTCCTGTTGCAAGAGATCAGTTTCTCAGGCACTTGTCCAAGGGCTGTAACTCTAGATTCAAGTCTCACTGTCTTTCCCAAGTACCAGAAAAGAAAAGGAATAAATATGAGAAAAGGAAAAAAATGGAAACAAAGTCTTTGTAAATAGAGAGAGGTGGTAGGGTTGAAGGGAGGGCAGGGGAATGGGAAGAAAATAAGAACCAAGATATATTATACAAAGTTACAAATTCCCAATGATGAATGTCATCATATCATATGCCTAAAATGGATCAATAAACTTAATGACTAAAAGAAAATTACTCAGATGTTTTTTAAAAAGACTATGCACCCAGAACTGGTTATGTCTATGTACACTTTGTTTTTTATTTTCATTTATTCTTATTTGCATTATTTTTCCTGGCTGGTTCGTCAGAGAATAACTTTATCAAAAGCAATATTTTCATGTTGTTGTTATTGTTTTAGTATCTTTAGTTCATAGCATGTAAATAAACTTTTGGATTTAATCAGTTATTAGCTTCAAATCTCACATACCTTACCTTGCCTGCTTTATAGTTCTAATTTCCTGCCCAAAATTATATTTATTGAAGTATCTGAATGGTGCTATATTCAGAAAATTTACACATTAGTCGGGCACTATCCACCTTCCTCAGAAAAGAAAAATTGTCAGTTAGATGAGGACAGTTATCAGTCATTAAGTCAACCATTATTTTAAAAATAGGTCAATTCTCTCATCTAGCTTTTCTACTTTCCCCCATGTCCCCTTGTCTTCTGTCACTTCCCATTTATTTAATAGTTACTCTTCCCGCTGGGCAGTTAGCTGTGTTCATCCGTGTGCTTCTGAGTCTTCAGTGAGCTGTGCTGGTCTCCAGGAGACACAGCAGTTTGGGAGAAAGGCAAGGTCAGTTTGGGTAATTTATATTCTTATAGTGTAAGAGATGAAAGAAAAAAAGAGCAGATAGCTTTACAGAGACCTGTGTCATTACTAGGACACCTATTCCCCACCTCATTTCTTCCAGCCCACCCCCTCCACACACACACAAGATCGCAAAGGGTAGTGAGATTCCAGCAATAAACTTAAGGTTTCTCTGAGCCAAAACTGACCATTTTCTGAAGTCACGGCATCCAACAGAAACATCCGTTTTTCAAGGAAGCTGTGTTTTCCTTTATTCTGATTCAAATGATCACGTTCCTGTTTTTTTCCTGCATTTACTTCCTCCCTAGTCTTCCACCCGGTGGAGTGTTCGTACTGCCACAGCGAGAGTATGATGGGATTTCGCTACCGATGCCAGCAGTGTCACAATTACCAGCTCTGTCAGGACTGCTTCTGGAGGGGCCATGCTGGTGGCTCCCATAGCAACCAGCACCAAATGAAAGAGTACACATCATGGGTAAGGCAAGGTCCGGGCAATACTTGCAGTTGGAGGTTGGCCCACAATAAAAGGGACTGTCAAGCTCTCGAGGATGGTTATAGGATTAAGGAACAAACTTAACTTCTCCTCCAACGCCAACAGTCCTTGCACCTTCCCTGCCATTCCTGTTTTACCGGAATCTCTTACTCAGTCTATCTGAACCCCAATGTACCTTCCTGAGACCTAAAATACAGGAAGCCTCAAACTGTATTTCTTCTTGAATATAGACAATTCGGTATTGATTTAAATAACAACTGAACAGCAAGCATCTTCTGGACTTTGATCTTATTTTCACAGTAAGTTAAAGGTTTCTCCGAGTTTTGTTTTGTTTTGTGGAAATTGCTGAAAACTATAGTCGTGTTTCCCAGATCCTTGAGTACTAAGGAAAGAAGTATGAGAGCGTGGGCTTAAGAATGCTGTTCCGTTTTACTGTTTTTGCAGGGGGCGGGGTGGAGAGACTGTGGTTATACTAGCAAATCATCTTTGCCTGAATGGTGTAAATGACCAGGTTGGTAAAGGTGACCTGTGAGTGTCTGTGTGATAGGTGTATTTTCAGGAGCACGTGGCACTAGGAATATGGAAAGAGTGTGACTTTCTCAGAGTGCTTCCTGTATGAATGGTCTGTACTTGTCTAACCTCTATCTTGGTTAAAAATGAAAGAGCAGCTGTAGCTATACGGCTCTCTCGCTTTTGTTCAAGTATGGTTTTAAGAATGCATTGGGGGATGTGGGATTTACCACCAAGCTTTGCCGGTGCCTCTTGAAATTGTTCTATCATGGGAAAATGCAAACATTTTAGGAGGTTTTTCTACATTAAAATTTAATGTATATTGAATTCATTAAACAGTACATATTTGCAATTCAATTCAACCTGTAGTTTCTACTCAAAAGGTAAATTATTGTTCTTTTTTTAAAAAAGAGGAGGTCTTCAAAATATGCATCTTAAATCAGAATGTCCTTTGCAGCAGTCACTATGAGGAACTCTAAGGGGCAACTATAACACAGTGCAACTGTAGTGATAATTCGTCACATCCAGTAACCGTTCTTCACTAAGGCAGAGTAGACTGGGCGCCTGTGCCGGGTTCAACTCCACAGTGCCATGAGCCTCATGTGCTGAGGACAGCTGTGAGAACATAATCATGAGCTGCAATTCAGTACAGAAGATGGGAACAGACACTCTCTGGTGTCTTATTGTCAAAATGTTACCGGTTTTCAAACTTATATCCCAGATTCTGCAGGGCTGATGTTTGAAGACTATCACTTTCGGTTGTGAAAGCTGATATGCTAAAGCCATATAAGAAACCTCTTTCTTGGGGACTGAGAACTTTGAAAGGACCTAATGGCTTAAACATTCTAAGAGTTACACCTTCTAACAGAAGCCCAAAAGGGACTTTATGAACAATTCTCCTGTCACTTAACTTTTAAATAATGAAGACAATAGCCATTTCATTATAGTATTACCAATTATGAAATAGAAAAAGGGGAAAGGGTATAAAAGAGACAAAATTATAAATGGCTTCTTATGGAAAGGGAAAATTTGTTAGAGATTCATTATCCAGATATAATATTTTGTTATAAATACTTATTATATTTATATAACTTTGATGGCTTCATATTGAGACAAACATCTTAGTCCAAATGAAAAAGAGGTAACATGACGTTCTGAGAAGAACATAACTTTAAATTTGAAAGACGCAGATTGAAGTTTCTGTTTTACTTCTAACTGGAAGTTTTGGGCCAGGTAGAAGCATCTTGCACCTGGTTTCCTGGAAAAACTTTCTGCTCATCTCCTTTTCGATCCTGTTCTCTCCCAAGCTATCTTTTGTTCTTGGGTAGGAGCAATCCTCTAGTCAGGTCTCATCCTGTAATTCTGGTGCTTTAAAGACCTCATTGTCTCCCTTTGCCTACAAGATTAAGATGTGGTCCTTGACTTGCCATATAAGGACCTTGGTAACCTGCCTCCCACTTTCCTCTCCATTCTCCAGACAGGATCTCTTCTTCCTTCTCCCTTTACATTGAACTCGCTCCATCAGGAATAACCTTCCTACTCCCCTAAACTTTTGTCAAAACTCCTGCAGGCCTATTAAGTGGTTTCTCAGGTGACTCGGTGACAATGACCACTTCTATTTATCACAGCCCTTGGTGTTCTTGAGCAGCAGGAGGTAGGTACTCTGGTAACTCATTCCTAGCTTCCAGCAAACTTCCTGACTTAGAGCAGGTAATCAAAAAAGCACTTCTTGGATGGATGGATGGATGGATGGATGGATGGATGGATGGATGGATGGATAGGGGAATGGATGGATGGATGGATGGATAGATGGATGGATGGAGATGGAGAGATGGATGGTGGCTATTTTGTAAAGCAAATCCTGTGAAATACTGTTACATCAAAATGAGTTGTTATTACTTCTACCCTTCTTTTTTTCCAGAAATCCCCTGCTAAGAAGCTAACCAATGCTTTAAGCAAGTCTCTGAGCTGTGCATCCAGCAGGGAACCTTTGCACCCCATGTTCCCCGATCAGCCAGAGAAGCCACTCAACTTGGCCCACATCGTGTAAGTGTCTCTCCCTGCCACCTGGTAAGGTGCATCTTTCTTCCACTGATACAGGTCTGGAGGCTGTTTTAGATCGGTTGTCAAAGACCAAGTTTTAAAATTCATTTTTTAAAAAAATCAAAGTAATTTTTTTCTTATTGAGCTGCCCTGTGCCTCACATGACCATACATGTGTGCATTGCTAGCATAATTCACCAAGTGGTGGAAAATATCACAGAAGCTGTGTTATAAAATATGGATGTCAGTGGAGTTTGCACATCCAGAAGTTAACAATCAATGGAATGACCACAGTTTTTTAAATTTTAGGAACATTTTACCTTCACCTCATATGTGCTTTAAGTCCCAAATCAAATGCCAGCAAAACTAGAAATCGCTTTGCTTTGTTTGGGGTTTTGGTTTTGGATTATTCCAAGGTACATAATCTCGGAAAAATCCATGGTCCAGCCACTGGAAGGTTGAAGATGGGAACAGGTGAGGAAATTCATTAGAACAAAAAGGAATAATTCTTCCAAACAACTCAGGCCTGAACAGCCAAGATAGCAGGGAGCTTAGAGAAAAGAAAGCATCACTCCCTTGGTGTGAAATTGATCTCAAAAGAAGAAAGAAGTGCTCCAGCTGTTTGCATGAAGTTAGGAATGAGGTATTCACCAGCTTCCTCCAGAAGTCTCTAAAATACACGGTTCCTCCTCCTGAACCACCTTTTGCTGCCCACAGTTCATTGGGCCCGACCATATTGAAAAGCCTATGTTTACAGGCTATTTGACATTAACAGGTAGGCTGATATACCTGCCGGTTTTAGGACTCAGTGATGCAAAGTTTATGCTTTGGGAAGCCCAGAATATGATCTCCCAGAGACATGAACTGCTTCTGAAAGCAGTAACCCTTTTTATCTGATGGGCCTAAGCAAAATACCATCTAATCATTTTTGCTGCCTCGTGACTATGAGCTGTTCGTAAATACAGTAGGATACTGTGCTGTTTGCTCTTGAATAATCTTTGAAGGATCACTGAACCTAGCAACACACAGCAGAATGGAGGCTCTTATTTCTCAGGCAACATAATGTTCAGGAAACTGATGTAAACCAGTTCTGTACACTGTGGTTTACTTCCCTGGGAAATTACCTTTCTAAAAGCAAACCAGGCGTAAGTAAATCTGGGGAGAGTCCCAAGGGGTCAAACACTTCAAAAATCTCCTCCGTAGGAGTTGTTCGTATTACAGTCTCAACGTCCCTTCCCATAGCCCACTAGAGACCATCACCCAGTTGCTAGTGAAGAAACACAGTGTAGTGAGAGCAAGTCTGTGCTTTGTGTGCTTTGCCCAGCTCACTTCTTGCAGCCCCCTAGGAGGTTCAGTCACTGGACTAGCTGAAGACAGAGTGTGAGAGGATGGATAGATATGAGCAGCTTGGTGCCAAGAGCCCTACGGTAGAACAGAATGAGCCCACTCTAGAAAGGGTTAGGGAAATGAGACATGGAAAATTAAGTCCATTTCACAGTGCATCACACTGCACATACCTAGGCCAGGGCTTTGTACACAGTAGATGCTCAGGATCAATGAGTGTATATGTGCGTGCAGGCATGTGTGTGTGTGTGTCTGTGTCTGTGTGTCTGTGTCTGTGTTTGTGTGTCTGTGTGTGATTTAGTTCAGTAGAACTTTTTAAATTCTAATGTAAGAGGCAAGTGATCCAATGTGTTATTCACTGAAGATTGGGTCCATTACCTGCATAATAGGTTGTTTGGGAGGGGTTGTTTCGTTTTAGTCTGCTTTGTTTGTTGGGGCCTGGGGACTGAACCCAGGGCTTCATAGACACTGAACATGTACCCTATCACCGAACTACAACTCCAGTCCCCACAATAGTTCTGTACTGGGGATCTGAAAAGAAAATTCATGATTCTATTAAAGTTCTGTATAAAACATGCCTTTTTCTGAGAAAATTTGTATATATTTAACCAGATTTCCAAAAGAGTTTTTTTTTTATTTTATACTGATATTTTATCTTTTTTTTTCTTTAATTTCAAAAGAGTTTTTTCATCAAAATACCAGTCTGTACTCCCTGATAAAATTTTTTACAGGGTAGAATACATATGTGTGACATATGAAATTGTTAAAATAACACACAAGAAATTCTGGATGCAGAATGTCCAGTCTACATTATATATAATTTTTTTCTATTTTTAGATAGTAGAAAATTTTTCCTATATATATTTTTTAGCCAAATGCTACTGTAATGAACAGTTATGCATGTCTTTTGGGAGGTATTCTGAGACTTTAGTTTTCAACTATGCTGCTGACTTAGCTATTCTGAATCATTCAAAGCACATAAAGACTTTAAACATTAAAATAAACAGCATATTCTTTAATCTTTTTATACATACTCTCTTAATCTGCTATAATGAGCATGTACTTGGAGTTAAAGGATGTTCACATTTCTTCCAAATGTATATACCTGTAATTTTGATGCATTTGACAAAAATATATGACACACCATAGCACGTCCTATTATTGTAAGCCATTCCATCATTTTTATACAGTGTTGTACATTTGGAATAAGTAAAGATGAACACTTAAAAGTAAAACACACCAATACTCCCAACTCTATTTCATGTCCCTAAGTGTTTACTCCAAAATGTGGCTTAAGCGTACAAGTCTTAAGTCGAAGAAATAATATCATAGTACAAAAATATATAATACGAAACTTATTGTTTGGTTCTCTAGCAAAGACCATCCTCAGAGTATGTTCCCGTGTGCTTTTCCAAGTAATTTCTTAATCAATTAGTTAATTGTGGCACAAGTCCTATCTTTCTCATTCGTTGAACACATGTTCATGTAGGTCTTCAAAAATATCCTACATGATTGTACACACATAGATAAGCTCACCCACAAAGGTAAGACAAGAGTAGTGAGTGGAGGTGTGAATAGCAGCAATATTTGGGGGTGTGTTTGTTTTTTGGGGGTACCGGGGATCAAACTCGGGACCTTGTGCTTGTAAGGTAGGTGGTGGAATCACTGAGCTAAATCCCTGGCCCTATAACAGCAATATTGATGGGCATATTCTGTCATGTTCTGGGTGACTTGAGGTTTAAGCTATTGAGAATTACAGCACAATATAATTAAATATATTTACTAAATATTAAATATATTTAATTTATTTGTTAAATATATGTTAAATTTATATTTAATAAATATTAAATATAAATAAATCATTTTCATTACTATGAAAAAGTGTGGTCATTTTCTAAATTAGTGCAAATTCTTCAAAGACACTCTTTAGAAAAAATCACGTGATATATATATATATATTTACAGAAAGGATAATTACATGTCCTATTCAGTGCTGAAATATGTTTAGTGTTATAAGGCCCATGTATATGGAATTTGATGCTGAACATTATACAGTATCTTCAAATGCACATGTCTTTCTGTGTTTGTGACTCTGTTAAAAAACTGATACTACTTCTCTAACATGGCTGCCCCAATCTTAAACAATAAAAAGTCATTATAACATATATAGGTATAAAACAAGACAAGATACAGGTCTTATGCTTAATCAATACATAAAAAATAAATTTAAAATACTTTCATTACCTAAGTCTCGACTTCTAACTTTTAAATGATAAAAATATGGCAGAGTCTGGCACCAAACAGTATTTTGCAAGAGGCCTTAGAGATAGTAAAAACTGACTGAATCAATAGAACTTTAACAGGTTGTAGTGCTGTTGTCTCATGAACAGATGCACATTTGCCTATGGGAATGAACCATATCACACAGAAAATGTCATTCCCTTATTGTAGCCAAGGAATTTAATTTACACACAGTAAAAAGGTGCTGCTGGTCATGAATTTATTCTTTAAATAGAGGCAAGCAGGTGGTGACATTTTGGTGTTTTGGCATTTGTTCTTAGCTATGTATTGCTTGTAAACATTGCTATGATTAACAGTCTCTATTCTCTTTCATTTTTCGCTGCCAAAAGTGATACCTGGTAAGTAGTTCAATAGCCCCTAGTGTGCTTATAAAGATTTATACATGGTTATGAGACACAAAATAAGTGAGCAAACTGAGACTACCTTAAAATCAATTCTGTCTTGAGCCGAACTCTTTCCCTTTATAAGAATACTAATTTTATGAAGATGCCCTCTGCAAAGATCTTATCCAGAAAGAAAGCTTCACAGGAGGCCTCTGTGACTTACTGCATCTTGTGGAGCTGTTTCTTTTTCATAATGGTAAATATGCTTAACATTTCTGTTATGACCTATTTTTGGATAAGGCAATTTGCCATTTGATTATGGAGAATAGGAACATCAGTTTCTCTGAAATTCACTACTCGGTGACAAGCTTTTCTGTCCCAAGTTCAACATTTTGATGGTAAACCTTAAATATGAATCATCTGCTAAGAAGCCTCAAGTTCAACTTTACAGTGACCACATTTAATAAAGTAAATTTACCAAACTAAACAGCATTTCAAATTTACTTGTTTTCTCATCGCCTAGAGACAAAGATGGGAAAGGATTTTGTTTTTATTTTAATTACAAAAGAAAAACAAAAGTTCATTTCCTTTTCAACATTTTGCAAAGCTACAATAAAGAGATTTCATTTTGCTTAATGTCATAAAATCTGACATATATAACCTCACAATTATAGACAATGAAACGTTACGGCCAGGATCTGGGGACCTAGGAGTCTTCCATGGCCTCTTTCCTGGAGTTCTTGCCCTCACCTGGCAAGGAATGCAAGAGTGGAGCGGGGCTGACACAAGGCTGAAGATCTCCAAGTGGAAAATGGAGAAGTCAGGTCTTCAAAGAACAATGAAGTTAGAAACAAAGCAGTGAGAAGTAGAGATTCATTCTTTTTTAATTAATTTTATTGGTACAATTTAAATATACACAACAATCACATTCATCAAAGGGAGTTTGTACCTGTCCATAATATAGCTTGATTCATCTTTTCCTCCCATTCCCCTTCCCTCCCTTTAACCTCCCCTCCACCCCATTTACAAAAACTTTGTTTCCATTTTTTCCTTCTTTTATCGATTTTTTCCCTTCCCCCTTATTTACCCTTTCAGTTTCTCACACTAGAGACAATGCAATATGTACACCTGTGTCCGATTTATTTCACTTAAGAGTATAGTGAGGGATGTAGCTCAGTGGCACCACACCTGCCTGACAAGCACAAGATCCTTTGTTTGAATCCCTGTACCAGTGGGGAGGGGAAAGAGGGAAAGAAAGAGAAACTGAGGTTTATCCAGAAAATGACAACGGTGGAGACAAAGCGATAAGCAACATGGCATGGAAAAGTTGGACTGAACTTCTCAACATGGTGTCCTTGCCCTGACCATACTTCTAAGGATTCTAAACCAGTCAGGGTCTTAGCCTATATTGGATAAGTTGTTGCTAGGGTGATCTGTTGCTAGGGTAAGCATAGGATTTTAGGAACTTTCCAGTGAATGTAAGTGGGTCCCTAAAAATAACTGTGAAACCTGCAAATGTTTCACAAAGGGTAATTTCTAGTGAGCAGGTAGTCGTTTCTATAACCATCTGCCACATCACCATGCCAAGTTAGCCACTTCATGCCCTATGCTGCCTCGCTCCCCTTTAACTGACCCAAAAATTACATTTATATAAAATTAGCATCTTTCTGTTAAATTGTCCAGTTCAATGCAGAATTCGTTTGAAACTAGCATCCTGTTGCTCACTTGTCCAAAGACACATCCTAGATAAGTAAAGCAAACACTAGGTTGTTTTCAGAACTTCAGTTTTAATGCACCTGGAACAGATGAAATGGTCAATCTGCTGTTTTGATCTCATCCAGTAAATGCTGTCTTTCAAAATGTTAGGATGCACCTTAACACCAGCTACAAGAAAAGAGTTTCAACAAATATTTGCATACTGCTAGCATTTTAAAATCCACAGAGCATCAGGACCATTTCAATAAATACATTGCAATAAGTGAGTCTACATATTACCCACAATCTCTTCATTGTAAAATCCAAGACTAAGTCTGATTACCTCAGTTTAAAAACAAAATGAACTCTGCATAAAACCAACATGAATTGATCCCTTAGGCGACTGTAATCAATGACTTATCTTTACAAAATTCCATATTGTTAAATGCAAATAATTATATAGAAGCCAACATTTTCCCTGTCTCATCCTCTATCTTCTGAACTCTAAATCCTATCTTTCTATTCAATATCTTACATTGAACCTGAAGTGAGACTAAAAACTACTGAAGACAGGGTAGGGATCTTGGCTCTATCTGAACTAATTTCTGACAGGGAAAGAGTTTCCAGATGAAGCAAATGGCACCAGCGAACACAGACTCAGGCCATTGGTGTTTAGGACCATGGACAATTCTGAGGAATATTGAACACTGTTTTCTTTCAGTCACAATATGAAAAGTGAGGTTTGTGGAATGCTGTACGCCATATTCCCTCTCACATGGAGCAGCCAAATGACAGGAACAGCAAGTCCTTCTACTGCATCATTGCCTCTTCACCAAGAACAAAGAGCAAGTGAGGCAAGATGGGATTTCAGAGCCCATGAGCTTCCCAACCAGACCTATTAGAGAAGACCATCATCATGGGCAACACAAAAGGAAGTTTCTAGAGACTCGGGAATCCTCTTCTTTCCAAAGGACTTGTGTAGACTGTGACAATCATGGTTTCAGAACTTTATCCTTTAGGAGTAGAAGTAAGCTATAGCTCCTTCAAAATCCTTGACCCATTGAAGAGCATGATTCAGTGACACTCCAAAGCTCAAAGCTCAAAGGTAAATGTTCTCAGTTTGTCCAGAGATCTTCCATCTGGTATTTAACCAAGATTCTATATTCTCAAGAAAATGTAAGCTTTGCACAGTGGCAGCATCATAGCTAATGAGGTTTATCCAAAGCATGATTATTGCTAATTGAAAACTTTTCTCAAGGAAATGTACATTTAAAACATTTAAATAATTTAACTAAAATATATAAACTTTCATGTTAATTCAGGGTAAGATAAAACTTTAACATCCCCACCTCCTTTTCTCAAGAAATAGTGGATAGCTTTTATCTGTGGGTTTTCTTGGCTTTGACTTTCCACACACACTATGCTTTGTTTCAGGCCTCCCAGACCTGTAACCAGCATGAATGATACCCTGTTCTCCCACTCTGTTCCCTCCTCAGGAAGTCCCTTCATTACCAGGAGGTAAGTTCTAATCCTACTTCAGTGATGAGTCTTGATTCTATGGCAAGAAAAGTATTGCATTGTAAGTCAATTGCAGAAGATTATGATTAGAAACTAGATTATAAATATCCATAACAAGTTTTCAATTTTATTCATTTGGAAACATCTAAAGGGGGCTGGAGTGGCTTTAGAAGCTAATATCACTCCTAGAAATCTGCATTTATAATCTCCCCAAAATAAGGATGTGGGTGTGTTTCACACTCACTACTGAAACACTTGCATCCTGTGTCACTGGGAGAGTCCCGGTCATGGACTTGGAGTGAGCTGTTGAAGCCAGGGAATTGGAAGTTCAAGATGCAATGAAATATTATTACACAGATTCATAAATATCTTATTATTTAAGTCTCCAGATATAAAACAGTCTCCTTTCCAGTGAACTTTGGAGTTCCTGGGGCTAAAAGCTGAAGACTAAACTTAGGAATGTCATTTCCATAGAAGTGATTTCATGAATGATAGCAAGAACTTCAAAGATAGTGACTATGTGGCTCGCCTTCGTGCACAAGATCCCCTTTGTGAACAAAGAAAAGGAGAAGTGTGTACTTCTCCAACACTTAAATTTGAAACACAGGGCTCAAGAGATACTCTAAGTCATTTGATCAAATATTAGGAATCAAGCACCAAAAATTCTATATAAATACATAGAGAAGGTTCGCAGGAAAGGAGGAACAAAGGTAAGGAAAATAAGAGTAATGGGATGTAAGATCTCAAGTAGCTTTCAGCAGGAATAAAAATACAGCCTCATATTTTTTTAAATGCACATAATCCATTCATTCCCTGGAGAGGTTTTGAAAGTGCCAGTTTCACTGTAGTATTGTGGTGCATTCCGCTGAAGATTTGAAGACAGGGAGACTCAACATATGTCTCATTTCCCCCTGCATTCCTGTATGTATTTGCTGATCAATAAGAACCTGAGATGAAGATGTTCCTCGTAATTGTCATAAGCAGAATAAAGGGAGTGTGACAGTACGTGGTGTTTCCGTAAACCAAATCTGTAACCAGTTGGAAATGAGGGGCAGTGGTACTGAAGTACATCCACAGTGGAACAACCTCACTGAGGCCCTCGATAATTTCCCATTAGCCCTTCCTTCCAAACACCAGCACATGCAGTCATCCTTCCTGAAGGAAAATCATAAAGTGTAGAGGCCTGTGCATCTATATCGGGGAGACCTGATGGGATGTTGAAAGTTGTGCTTTAATTAGGAAGCTCTGCATTCTGCAAATGCCAAACAGAGGTAGACCCCATCCTTACCGAAGGTCGTTTTATATCATTTCAGCTCGGGCGGTGCTTATGGTGGATGCATCTAGATGGATAACATGACTTCCTCTACTCTAAAATATTCCTCTAATAATTTGAGCTGTTCTGCTTCCTCCAGGGTGCATGGTACCCAAAATATAATCATTTCCCTTTTTCCCATTCTCAGTCCTTTTGGCATGTTTTCTGTGAACCACAGACATGTTGTTTAAAGCTTGCAGTTCTTCTATCACCATGGAGATTGGACTCCAGGTTCTGTTTTGAGAGTGCTGTTCAATAAAGCTGTGTACACTGAATGCCCTTTTGCTCTGAGTGGGCTTTGCTCTGTTCATGGGAGATTTTAATGAGGTCTCCTCGTTTGCATCCCTCAGGCTACCTGAGGGGATAAGTGCAGCCAGCCCTGGGGCTGAAGAGCATTTGTTCATAAAGATGTGTGTTAATCAGCTTGCCCTCAGTACAGGGTCAGTATCCCAGTCACCCTGAATCACTAACCTTAGCAGTAACTCCATAGCTAGATGGCTCATTGTTCTACTGTAGCACTAGAATCCTCTTGCATGTCTTAGAGGAGATGGAAGTCTTGGGGCTTTATTGAGATTCTGTTGAAAATTACAACCTGGTCTGGATTTCTGAGATCTTTCTTCTCCTTCTCACTTTTTTTATAATTTCATAACTTCATACTAATACATAGGAGGTGCGTAAATGTGAAGAGTACTAAGAGTACTGTAGTGCAAACTCGGTGAGGCTTGGACCTTATTGCAATGAAAGACTTGAGGACCAAACAAGCCTTAAGACTTTTCTGCCCCATGAGGCCATGACCATACTTGCCCCCAAGTAGGATAGTCTGATTTCTACAGGAGTATCAATTTCAAAGCCAGTTTCTTGCTATCGATGCTTAATTGCTGTCACTTGATAGTGCTGCTGGTGACCCACTTCCACTTTAGGTTAGTGGAAATGCATCAAGCCAGATGAGGGAATAAGTAAAAGATCCTATTATTTCTATAACTGGAACCAAATTAAAGAAATATGGCCAAGAGATCTATCCTCATTCCCACTGCCCCTTTTAAAATCGAATAAAACCTAAACAGGCCAAGCATATCGTTCTGATCAGTAGTATGGCAACAATAAGAAAGTAGGAAGCTTGCCATGCAGATATTTTATTTAACCTAGGGTGTCCGTCTTCTGCATGGTGTCTTCGAAACCAGAGATCTTAGAGAGACAAAGCAGAGTGAGGAGAACTGCAATCAACGCTGCGAAATCCTCACAACAAACTCTTGGCATTACTCCCCTAGAGTCCTTTACTCCTTTACAAGCCTATTACTTTGATCTTCAAAAGGCATGAGGATGTATCTTTGAAGTCTTTTGACATCTTAGTGTCTACCTCACACGGATTTATGAGTGTGTACCTCTGGTTACCACCATCTGTCCTATCCCCTTCTAAACCTCTCCAGCTATATACTTGATTCATTTTTCCACTACCTAAAAGGAAAGGAGATTCTCAAAGGCACTCTTCCTTAGTCCTTTGACGTCTTTTTGTCCCTTTGTGAATGTCTTTGTGTGTGTGTGTGTGTGTGTGTGTGTGTGTGTGCCACACATGTATACTTAATGCTGGTGAGCAGGTAGGTAAGATGCAGGTCAAATGATATAATTCATAGACCAATTTACTTCATTCATTTTCTTGACCATAAATTATATCCCTAAACCTAGATTGTTTGCTTATAAGTTTATAGGAAAGAATGGCTGGATCCATGGAAATCTATCATCTCTAGAAAAGAGCTCCAAAAGCTAAATATGGCACATCAGCAATATTATCTAAGCTTATAAAATATAGCATAGGCTTATTGCAAATATTATTGCAAGGACTGACCACCAAAGCCCTCAAAAAGCCCTTTCTCCTTGTCAGTGTCCATAGCATTATGCTTCTGAGGATCTACTGTCTCTGTTGGCATCATGCCTTCTTTGTAAGGATCTCACTTATCTTGACAAAATCCTTGCCTCATTTGTATGAGTTAGCTGGTTCTTTTCTATGTTAAATGGGCTTCTTTAAATATGGCCCATCTTCTTCATTTGCCATGATAAGGACACTGAAAGTTTGAACAGCTACTTTCTTTGCCTCCAATTTTAGAATCATTGCTTAAAAGTTTCATAGGCATATTCATTGTTGCAACTTCTGAAGTGGAAACCACTCACAAAAAGATTTAGCTATTATATATAGCCTCTAGAAGATCCACTCACTCTACAAAATACTGGAAAATTGATTATAACTCATGGAGTGTGTTGAATACAGTCTAATACATATGCTCTTTTCTGGTTTGTCACAGTACAATGTGTTACTACTGACACTGTAGTTGGTTCTTTGGTACATATGTGAAGGACCCACCCCAAGCACCTCCCAGATCTTAATTCTTCCCAGTGGAGTAGCATTTGTGAATTATTTTTGTTGGTTGACTGGTTAGTCATTTGGTTGACTGGTTTAAATTTTCATCCAAGGAAAGGCTTGTGTATTTTTCAGGTTTTTTCAAACACTTTTACTTACTCGAAGGTTCTTTACCTAACAACCCATCCGGCTTTAAATATTTAAACTAAATTTTAAACATTTGTAATTTGGTTATTAAAGGGGACTAGAAATAAAGACACCGAATTCACCTTTTGCTTCAAAAATTTTCTCCATGGCAATTTTTTCTAAGAGTAAAGCCCATCCAATTTCAAACATAAAAGTACATTTATAAATCAACAGCTGGCACCACCCTGAACATTTCCTCAGTCTTTTCAAACTACCTGGTGTGCTGTGCAAAATTATGCAAAATTTGAAATAATCATCCCTGCAAATAATTTTTATTTCATATATCCCCATAGCTCCATTTTTACATTAGATTTTTTTCAAACTTGAATTACTCTAGTCTTCACAATTTTAACCTAGTCTAACAATTTTCTATATTAATTTGTTAATGACTCATTATTAAAACCATAGTTGTCTTTCTTTTTAATATCATTAACCTTTCCACTTTTACTAGAATGCTTTAGTCAATTTCTGCACATGCCTTGTACCTGCTAGAGTATTCTACGTATGGGCTCTTTTGGCAAAAATATAATTGACATGACTTGATAATATTGGGGAACAATATAGTAAATGTGATAAGTCAAATATGACCTGAGAATTCATATTTTTTCCATCGTACCTGTTCAAGATGGTGCAGCATTTGTACTAGTCTGAACTGATGGGCAGCTAATTTTCCTTATGAGACACTAGCTTAGCCTTCCTGTCTGTTTACTGATTTGCAAATAGCAGATATTTTATATTTCATATCTAAGCTATTGAACACTAGACAAGGAAAGAGAAAATGTTTCAAGAAATGATCTCTTCACAAGATTGATTTATAGATTCTTTTATTGTACTTGAATTAGCTTAATGGCCATTACTAGACAAGGTAAATTATAGTGAGATGCAGAATTTTAATTCACAATTGAAAGTTACTTAAGAAGGGAGCCAACTTTACAAGTTATTCTTCACAAGTCCACGTACCAAACAAATTAACCAATTACTTAAATTAATAGAAATAAAAATATCTGTCTTCGTTTGCCACATTTGAAATGTTGCTTTCCTTTTCATCATTGTGAAACCAACTATTCCACGGTACATAATTTCTTGACATGATATTCTTTTTTCCTAAGACTAAATCCAGATCCTTAGTATTGTGCTGAATAAAAGAAAAATGTCTTTGACTGAGGGCAATATAGTGACACAAGAGAGACAGAAGTGTTTATTTTTAAAAAAAAGGCATCTCAGATTTAAGCAGATATACTGGAAATATTTTGTGTAGTTCTGTTACATTAGAACAAACAAAAATATTTCTGATAAAGTAAAAATTTGGCCATAACTTGTCACCCTTCAAAACCAAGGAGATTTTAAAAAATAAATATGAGACATTTTGAAATTGTACTGTTGTCTATGGCCATACATCCTGAATGCATCCAGTCTTATCTGAAATTGTCCTATCTTCTCAGAACTCATTGTGTTATTGCATATGTGTATGTATATGCATAAAACATTTGGAAGAAGCCTATTTATTTTTAGATATGCTATTTTCCAGAGGGTATTTTTAAAGGATTGGCTGAGGAAATAGAGAATTTGGGGGGGGGGGTCTAAAGGGGGGCTGGGTTTAGCGC